AGAATAGGGGGTGGGTTTGGGTCTGTATTGTTACACTCTGGCTCCCAACGCAAAAAGCTATCATAACAAAACAAGAAAACACAACAGCAGGCAGTTGGGTTTGCCAAGTTGACATAGAAAAGAAGAAAAAAAATCAAAACAAAATAAAAAACTTCCAAGATAAATACATAGCCCCCATTTTGGAAGCATCTTCAAAAAGCTGGATCAACCATTCTCAGCAGTGGCAGAACCTTCCAGTAACATCTGTTGGGCTGGTGATTTATCGGCTTCCTTTTGAAGAGGGAACAGTTCAAGAAAAAGAAATCAACTTCCCACCACGTGCAGCTCCCATCTTATCTGCGTAACGACTGGCCATGGCTATTGCCTCACAGCAGCAGGTTGGGAACCAGCAAGAAGTCTAACGCAGCAGGTTCCTGTTCGCTCATCGAAAGGGTTGGCAGTGGTCGCAACTGGTTAGGAAAAAACTTCCAGAAAACAGTACTTTTGGGAAGGGGGTATTTCGGATGTCTGGGACCTCTCCCCGTGGATCACCGTGATACAGACTGGATTCACCAGAGATGGAAACCAAGTCCACGGCAGCAGGATAGTGACAACACGGAGGTTTTGGCTTCCAGCGGTCAGGCAGGCCTCCCAGACTCCTTGGCTAATGCTGCGGAAAGCTCCCAGACTGGGGGTTTGGTTTAAGGGGAGGTTATTGCTCCTGACTTCTCAGGCTTTTTGCCCTTCGAAAGGGCAGCGGCTTGCTTCAGGAGTTCTCTGTTCTTGGCCTGGAAACACAGTGAAAAGAGATATTTAATGGCACGGATCGTCATTAGCTCTCAGGATCCTAGAATTGCCTGGGCAGAAGCTGGTGGCATCCTGCACACAGATGGAAAAGGAGGTAGATGTTGCTGCACGGCATCACAGCGTGAGCCCAAGGCCAGCATCTCATCTCTTTTACCACCTAGAAAAAGCTCTTCCCATCTCTTCCCCCTCACTGTAACAAAGAATCAGGGTGGAAGTTAACAGCTTCTACAGTGAAAGGTGACAAACGCACAACCCGTGCTAAACCGGCCAAGGACGCCCACCGAGGCCAGCGGGACCGGCTTTCCTTCCTTCCCTTTCACCAGCCGCCGTGCTTTGACAGCGTGAGAAGCGGTGGAGTAAAACTCTGGTGACTCCAGCCCTGGTCCTGACTTGTTTCAGTGAGCTGACGGACAGCTTCCCCTACCCGCACTCACATCAAGAAACAGCTCGCTGTTCTCCAGCTTCGCTTCACCCTTGGCTTCTTCACATGCCACCAACATTTTACCAGGAACCCGCTCTGTGCTGACCCTGCAGCCCTACCAGGAGCTTTCCAAACCCGTCAGACCACCAACATGTACCAACTCACAGTCTCTCCGATTCACACCTAATTAAAAATCACGGCAACTCATGAACTAAGCTCTCCAGCCCCTTTTACCAAACTTCCGAGCTCACTCGCCTCTAACCTATGAAGTAAATCATGCTATAGCTGTAGGAGAAGGGGTAAAGCCCAGTGAAGGCAGACACAGCTCTTGTGCATGAGTTTCCAGTGAAGGAATGAATGCACAAAGGGTTATCGGAGGAATTAAACCCTCTGCTCTAGTGCTGCATGTGGTGAAGCAGCTTCGTTTGCCTCCTGCAGGCTGGAAGAACACAGGCACCCCTGCTTCCCCCCAGGAAAAGACAAAATAATAAAAACCAAGAGCACGTTCAGAAAGCGAATTGGATGAACACTGCAAGGCACCTACAATACACCGAGAGGATCTGAACTTTTATTTTGGAATCAGTGCAGAACGTTTCTAGAGCTTCAGTCAATACCGGCTGAAGTGAAACATTCGGACACCAGAGAGAACGAGTTCAGAGCAGTCCCACCCCAAGCCCAGCACAGAACAGCACAGCGGGCGACCAACACCCTGCCCACCCCGGAGAGGCAGGTGGCTGCGGGCAAACCTGCTCGTGGATTTGACACTTCCTCTTTCTTTTCAGCAAAGTTTAAGGCTGTTGGAAGGTGTCTGACAGCTTTCAAGGCTGCCGTCCCCCTCGAGCTGCAGCAGAGGCGGCAGCAGCAGGGGATAACCGTTCCCACGCACACCAAGCACCGTCGTGCCCTGCCTCAGGGAACCGCTGCAGAGAGCGGGGTTAGATCCCGGTTTGCCCTTAACCTCGCAGCCAGGGCTGTCAAGGCAACCAAAAACTGGTGATTTGCGCTAATGGAAAATTGTCTGCTCAGAACTGGAGGAAGAACACCAACTCAGGCTTTGCAGGCCACCCAAAGCTACGAGACAGAAACAGCTCCGGGCTGAGACAGGCAGCGCAGATCAATAAAGCAGAACAGGGACAGAGGGCTCTGGATGTCATCGGTCCCTCCAACACAAACCACCAGTGCCTCCCAGCTCACGAGGAGCGTGGGACATGCATCCAGCCCTCGGCACACCACACACAGATATTCCAACCTTCAGACAGGCTTAGAGTGCTTAAGAAAGAGCATTGTGAAGGGGATCTCAGGCACCAGCTTTCTGGCGGCAGCTGCAGCCTCCAAAACCCGTCTTCCACTCCGATAATTAACCAGAGTGTGTGCTGATGGAGGAGGGGCTGTTTTCTCAGCAGGGAATAGAAGCCTTTTGTCTTATCTCCTCCCATTTCTCATGGCTAGGGCTTTTAGATCATTATAAAGCCCAGAGTAATTAAAGAGTGCAAAGTTCATTTCTGTGTCTGATTTCTTCCCTCTAACCAGCTCCCCTTTGACCTCATCTCTTGGCTGGCTCAGAGTCTATTCACGCTGATCGTCTGCCTGCTGTTTCCACGGCCATGACAAAAATCCCGCTCTCCCTGTTCCCTCCAGCTCAGGGACTTTTCTGTTTGGATACAGCGCTAAAGGAACTGCCGATTGTTTCTTGAGCTTTGTTCTCTCTGGTTACTGGTCACATAAATCACGTTAAGAGCTATGTGGTGCAGGGAGCTGACAAAGCTGCTGCAGTTTGGAGAAACAGGTTCAAACCTGATTTTGGCAATAGGTAAAACAAGTTTCATGGTTCCTGTCTAGCCCGCAGAGGACACAATGCAGCACTTGACAATACAGTAAGCCTGAGCAAAGAGCAGCGCAGAGGATATAAACAGGGGTTACAATGCACTGCAGCCTGGTACAGAGCTGCACAGGCTTGGCCGGCAGGGCAGAGGCTGCAGGACAGGGCTGAGAAGCGTTATCAGAGCTGTGGGTGCAGAGGCTCACGGGGTGTTCTGATCAGGAGTGTCCTCAGTCACTCCTGGGTACAGCACAGCTCAGCAAATTAAAACAAAAATGCTGTCACCTGTAACTGCTCCATGACCTCCTTGTGTGTCTTCTCCATTTGGTTCATCTTTGCCCTCATCTGTGACTCCTGGTACTGCAGGTCAGCTTTCAGCTCTGTGATCTGCAGACAAACCAGTGAGGAGCAAGTGAGCCGGAAGAAGAAATTAATGCCTTCACCCAGGACGCAACCCTGCCTCTGCAAAAGTTCTGTGAGACTGGATGAGTTCAGAAACATTCTGGGGTGGGCTGGGGGAGCACAATGAGAAAAGAACCATCTCACTGAGTGGCACAGAGAAGCAGGAGCAGCCAGGACTATCTTTCTGCAAGGAGCAGAATGTTTTTCCTTAGTCTTGCCCTGGCACAGAGGTCTCTGAGACAGTGGTCAGAAAATGACCCGTTATGAAATGAGATCTCCTGGGTGGGTCCAGAAAACCTCTTTAACTTTGGAGAGGAGGCAGCCTGGAAACAGCAAGAAACCTCTTTCTCACTCCAAGACAAAAAGCCAGACACCACTGGAGCGTGAGCTGTGTGAACATGTCAGCACGCTGCGGGGGGAAGCAAGCCAAGGGCTGTACCTTCTTCTCCTTCTCCAAAATCATCTGATCTTTCTGGTGCAGCATCTTTTTTAAAGTAGCCACTTCCTCCTTCAGCTGGGCAATGATAACAAAGTGGTCAGTGCCAGGAGAGTCCAGGGCGAGGTCCGGAGAAAAACTGCAGCAAAGAACACGGAAAGACTCTCATCACAACCCCTTCTCTTCACTGAGGCAGGGAAACTCCCACAGATGGCACTCGAAGGAGAATGGGAATCATTTCATGACACATGTTGTGTCCTCCAAACATTCCCTGAATGCAGTGTTACCCTCATCTCCGCCCTGGATGCCACATGTCATTTGGGAAACACATGGCAACAGGGAATTGCGTTCAATATATCGAGTTGTATTATTGCGTGATCAACAGGGACACGGGACTGCTACGCGTGACCATCAGCCAGTGTCTGAGGCAACTATTGAAAGAGCAAAGGATCCTTTTTCAAACCAAAAAGTTGAGGACAGCAATCAGAGAGCCAATGAAACTTTATGCAACCCCTTAGGAACTCTCTTTGCTCCCATGCAGTCCTTGGATGTGCAGCAAAACTTTTCACTAAATATAAACATTCTGGCAAGGAAGGAACATGAAAGAGAAACAAATAACCTCCAAGTTAAACAAACAAAGCAAAGGGAGACACCTAGATCAAAGTCAGCACTGTCCTCAGCAGGGAAAAGGGGGAAAAAGAGGTTGGACTTTTGTATTTTGATTGCACCATGAGACAGCAATTTAGGAAGAAGCTTCACTATCACTTCAGAACAAGAAAGACTCTCTTTAGACAGAGAAATAGCTGTGCACAGCATCTGTACACCACCAGGTATTCTAAACCTAAGCAACCAGTTGAAAACTGATCTGAACACGTGTCGCTCCCCTGCACTGGCAATTCACACGTCTCCCTGCGAGATACCTGGTGGATCTGGGCAGCCACGTACAGTCTTGCACTACAGGAATATTTCAGATCATAAGATATGATAAGCTACAGTCAAAGGCCCAGGGAGCTCACCTGATCTGTGCCTGCCTTCTGTTCCTCACCGCGGTAATGATGAGCCTGATTTTTATCTCCTGGTGTTAAAAGGGCAGCACACTCCCAGCCACACACACCTGAAATTGCTGCATTAAAATTTCACAGTAATAAGGCAACAAAGCTTCACCTAGAAGATTGCTTCAAGTCTGGCTGTTATCAGACAGCACTGCTGCTATAAAGATAAATATCCAGGGTTACCTGAAGCCTGACATTTTTTTTTATAGCCTCCAGAGTAAGTCAACACATATCCTGGGAGCTGAAGCAGACTGGGAAGGCTAGGTCTGAACCCAAATTACTGCCTCTCTGAAATACGCTGCCGCCTCCGTGCTTCCAGTCCTCCATCCGCACATCGAGGCAGAGCACCGGCTGCTCACCTCATGCAGGGGTGTCCTTTAGCGCCTGGAAAGAATCCATTTGCTAATTAAAAGCACAGGCTGCATGGATGGGGCTGGTTAACAAGGACATGGCAGAAGAAAAGGCTCTTTCCACCGCTGTGCTGGGGATCTACAGAGGGAAACTAAGCAGGGGCAGCTCCACAGATTTGAAAGCCACAGGACAGCCCTGCGGCACCGGGAGAGAAAGCTTGGCAAAGGAAAACTCAGAACTGAGGGTCTGCAGGGGACAGCCCACAGGGGAAGAGCCTCGCATGGCTAAAGCATGCTGAGAGCAGAGCTCACACCGTAAGATGTGGCAGGTCTCTGGGTACACCAGATCTAGCACTGCGCTTGGAAGAGGTTCATACAGGCACACTAGCAGAGAAATCTCCATTTTAAAACTGTTCCCGAGCACAGATTCCCCAAGTGGAGGCTGTACAAGATGATAGTGGGTGCTCCAGCCCCTTTCTGTGTGCAAGCATGTTACTAACAGGAGCTTTAATTTCCCACTCAGTGCAAATATGCTGGGGAGGAGAGAAAAAAAAGAGGAAAAAAAAGCTGCCTCCACAGAGAAAAAAAGGCTTCCTCACATTCCCTCTGGCTAAAACCAAACTCTTGCTTACACCATTCCTTTGTCCAGGCAAGCTTCCCTCCTGCCATATCCTGGGGTGATAAAGAGTGCCAGGAGATGCTCACGTTTCACTGAGCCGCTCCGGCAGGAAAAATTCCCTCCTTGGCAGCTCCTGTTGCAGAGCACGCTGTGGAGCCCGGAAGGTGAGAGCTGGTCCTGCCACCCAGCGGGGAGAAGGGACAGACGGGCCACCAGCCTTCCACAGAGCCACTCTTGCACTCAGCAGACCTGGTACTGGACCCCTGGGCTTCAAGGGCCTCCTCCTGCCCCTAAAATCTGCACCCAAGTGGGTAACAGTGGGCTCAGAGCACCCACGCATCCCCTCCTGTCAAGCACGTGAGCGCAGGCAGGTATCTTCCTGTCCAGTTGCTGCAAAAGCCACCCTCCAATGTGTCAAAGTGCTAATTAAAGAAGTAGGTTTTTTTCCCTCCCCCCCCCTTTTTTTTTTTTAAAGAGTGACAAGTCAGTAATGAAAGGTTTCTCTGTCTTTAACCTCACACTAAGGAAGCAGCCTGAGATTCCAAAATTAGAAGGAAAACTGCCAAATACCAGTCGCTCCATTCCTTTAACAGACAGATTAAGAATTAAAACAGCCAACCAACCAAACAAAAAAGCCATTTCCCCTGCAAATAAACCGCATACCCAGGATCCCAGCCTCTTGGGATAAGTCGGGGGGCATACGCTCACCGTGCCTGAACACTTCTAATTAAAGGGAATTGATGAGCTCCCATTGCTTTCAATGGAGACAGAGGAAAAAAAAAAAAATGAAGCTCTTCCAAAGACACCTGCCTCTTCCTGTTGAGTGGAAAGGAAACCAAGATGACTGCCTTAAACTCCACACCTGGTAAATGGCTGAAATTAGGCAAAACAAATGCCAAGCTAAAAGATTTTGCTGTTCAAGTCAGGCTAGCATAAAGAGGCACAGCCCAGGCTGACTGAACCAGCATCCAGCTATCCCCCGAGACAAAACTATCCCCCATGTGCAAAAATCCATCCAGGCCAAGAGGAACCAGCATCTGAACTTACGCTTCCTCTAACACCACCAAAATGAAATGACCACCAGAAATCACTTGGTCCCCATATCACAACCATCAAGAGTAACCTCCACTCGAAATACATAAACAAAAACACACAGAGGGAATTCAGTAAGGTAAAGGAATTCCTATTGTATTCGCACAGGAGCAACAACTTCAGAGAAGCTGGATCCTGTCAGGAACGCTGCCAAAGTTCACCAAGTTGAAATATGCCCCAATTTTGCCCAGCTGGAGGCTGCATCAGGAGTTTGGCTGGAGCCAAGACAGGCTGTACAGAAAGCTGTGGCTGATCTCAGCAGCAAAGAGGTGCTGGTTGTGCATCACCCCATGCCGGAGGGAGCACACTGATGATGAAAACAGCGCCTCGCACTGCGACAGACCCCAACTCCACGCTCAGGTTGTGACCCAGACTCCAGGCTGACTCTGGGGGGGACAATCTTATAGAAAACGTGCAAGAGGGGAAGGTTTGGGGGGGTTCATCCTCACAAAAAAAATCCCCAGCAACTCCAAAAGCACACTGAATGAACCACCATTATTATTCTACTCAGGAAACGCAGGCATGTGTCTATTTAAGGCAGCTGCAGCTTGCCTTTTCTACAGCATGTTGCTGGAGCTGTTCAGTAGATGCTAAAATTACACACAGTTTGTTACTGGGATTCATCAAAAAAAAGTCTGTGCAAGGACCACAGCCTTGGCAGGAGCCAGGCCGACAACATCTGACACAAGAGTGAACAGAAACAAAGGCATTCGATTCCCCTAATAAATGCTCCTGTTTTGCAAACGAATGGCTGATCCATTAATGCCAGAGCATGGGATCTTTTGCTTCTTGGATATTTTCAAGCAGGAGTATTACAATGAATTGTTAGGTCTCAGCCCAGGATTTAGTTAGCAGATAAAAATACCTGGCACTGTCCTAAAGGCCGGAGAGCAGCCTCAGTAGGTGAGCAGGAGCCTTAACTCGAGGGGATACTGCAGCAATACTGAGGGGCTGCACCAGTTCCACCAGGGACCTGTCTCCAGCCTCTCCTCTGGCCCCACCAGTGCTAAAGGCAGTCAGATGAATCCTCAAGAAAAAGTTGATCCTTAACATTTTTCCAAGTTTTAACTGAACACACTGGTGAGATGATAAATGGTCTTTTAGACCACTCTGTGGCAATCACTGCCTTACAAAATTATTTAAGTTCTATTTCCCCTTCTGGCATTTCACAGATATTGACAAGGCGTCAATAATATCTACAGGAGAGATGCGATCTGTGATCTCAATGAAAAGCCATTAGGTAGCGATTAATTAATTACCAGTGGTTTTAACAGAGCCTATGGCACTAATGACCCTGTGCTCTGGTCTGTGCTCCCAACTCAGTGCTGTTTGGAAAGAGATCCATCGAGAGGGGACAGTTTCCATGTGTGAGGCAGTTCCCAGGGAGGGAGGGCAACGGGGGAGAAAACAACAGGTGGTCTCACTTCAGGACGTCAGTGCCTTGAGAAACAGGACAATGGTGGGCACCGAGACTCTGTTGGGAAGCAGCCCACTGCGCCAACGTGGACGGGGCACTCTGGGTAGGGGGACAAAGCGTCTCGGGAGAGGAAGGAACGCTGAGAATCAGAGAGGAAAGGCAGGAATGAAAATATGCATGTACAAGACCGTAAAAAAACAAAAATCCATCTCAATCTCCTGTTTCTGCTACTGATTCCCATTCTGCTGCGCACACAGCTGGCATCAACATAATCCGGCACAAACTGTGACAGCAGAATGGGATTGGATGCTTTCAAGCAAAGCTGTTGGATTGCTCGTCCCTCCCTCAGAAGGCGGGGGGGGAAATGGGAGGTGGGTTTTGATCCTCTCCTCTGAGGCTATCTCCCTGCAGACCAGTCTGATCACCCCGAAAGCACAAAACCTGCAGACCTCAACTCTGCAGCGCAGCCAACAGCCCCCCTCTCCCTGTCACAGCAGAGGGAGGATAAAGCTCATCTGGCTGCACTTTTTCTAACTTGGGGAGCTCAGCCAACAAGCAGTTCCTATTCTAGCAGGTACAGGCACTAGGTATTCCTCTCCTCTTCAAACCTATGTCTAAATGCCAGTAACGCTGGCCTGCCAGGTCCCAAAGCCTGAGATCCCTGCTCTAGCATCAGAGTTTCCTGCTATTCGCACAGAACTCTCTCAAATAAATTTAGCAAATAAGACCGCCCACCCACAATTACCCCATGTAACAGGCTCACCTGTCACCATTGGCAGATATGGCATCAAACTTGGCTTTCTTCTTTGGGATTTCATTCTGAATAGAAGAGGTCGATAAGGTTTTCTGGCTAGAAAAACAAGGAAATTGTATGTTAGAAACTGAATGACTCGCAGTCTAAGACAGAGAAGCAGATAAATATTCCCACCCACTTTGAGCCTATTAAATAAGATTTCCTAAGGCAAGAAAGAATTATTAAAAATTCATCCCTTGAAGAGTAGCTGGAGACTAAAAATAAAGAGAAAACAATGTGTCAGTCAGATTAGTAAGCAGGTGAACAACTCATGCTTAAAATCTACATTTCAATCATTAAATTCTACAAGCACAATTTAGCTTTAATTACATACAAGTTCAGTAAGTCGAAGCACTGTTGGACTACAAGCCCACACCAGAACAGTGGGATTTGCAAACTAGCAAAGCCTGACTTAGCCAGATTCTCCTGAACAACAGACAAGTGCCAAAACCCATCACCAAGGTACCATGCCCCCAGCCACTTCTCCCAGTTCCTTCAGGAAGCACACCCAAGGGGTGTGGAGTGGCCAGGCACCCCGTTTGCTCAGCCCGCACACCAGAAAAGCTCGTGCTGGTTACCTGTTATAGTGGCTGCCACTGCTGAGCCTGCTGTACTGCTCCTTCTCTTGAAGACTCGCCCGGGAAGAGCTGCTCAGGTGTTTGCACTGCTCTTTGGTCTTCTGCAGGACCCGTTTGTAGGACAGTGTGCACAGCCAGCACAGCAGCTTTCCATCCACCTGCAAGGTGAGAGAGAGAGAAAGAGAGGGGGAGAAGTTTTGGTCTTGCTTCCTGCCCACAAACCAAACACAGAGAAGACAAGAAGCACCTTCAGGCTTAAGATCACATATAAACAAGCAGAGACTCAAAAAGGATCCCCTGAGTGCCTGGAAAGGGCAACAAGAGCATCTGGCACGGCTTGTGCAACTAACAGCAGCTAATCTACCGTACCTACAGCCTCTGCCAAGCTTTGCTTACAGATCACCTTATAGCAGCCCTTCACCAGGACAGGCTAACTCCAGCGGGATTTCTGTCAAAGCAGCGCCAAGGTACGGTATGGGGTGGTCACCAAACCAAACAGCAAGGGTCTGTGCTCAAGGAGGATCAGGAGGAGGACAGGGATTATCAGAGCAGCATCCAAAAGGACCAGCAGAAGTTTATAGCCTGCAGAAAGCAGGCTTTAGGAGCACACTCCTCCTAAGGAGCACTTATGTTGTTAAAGGCCAGGGTGTGCAGAAGCCATGGCATGGGTTTCCTGGTGGAGATGTGACACTTCCAGCTCCTCAGGCTATGGCACAAACATCATTCCCCATTCCTCTCCCACCTGACATTCCACTCGGAGGCCCCTTCTCCTTTGCCAGCCTAAATACCCTTAGGCCACAAAAAAAGAGATCTTTCTCAGTAGAGCTGGCAAAGGAGCAGAGGAGATTAAACAGCTCCAAAACACAATTCCCACAGCAAAGCTCAACTCCAGAAAAATACTTTATCGCTAAGAGACACTCCCTTTTGAAATGCTAGAGAAAATGTGAAGGAGATGGACAATCAGCCCTTTTACCTTTTCGGCCTCCTTTTACAGAGATACTGACCTTCTTTCTGTCATCCTTCCGGTCAAATGCACACTGCTGTTTGCACTGCTCGCAGGAGTGCGGAGGTCCGTACTTCTTTTCAGAGTTCGTGCAACGCTGGCACTTGTTGCCAATAAATGCAGCTATAATGTTGCAGTACTGGCAGGGTTTTGGCTTCAAGAAAAAAAACCAAAACTGATACAGCAGTGCCTTCTAATTACATTAATACATTGCTCTTTCCCCTCCTCCCCACCACTTCAAAACTTTTATTTCCCCGTTCCAAGCTAATTGTCACGCTGATCCAGGAGACAGAACTACATTTGGATCCTGGGTCTCTAGCCAAGCCATGGCACCCAGACTGTTTATCAAGTGCTATCAAATCTTTAGAAAACGTCTAACACCAAAACAGAAATAATAAAAGAAGAGAAAAGGTAAAAGCTCCATGCTTGAGGGATCTACACATTACTGATCAGTCATGTTATTACCCATAAACTCCACTGGGATTCAGCAGGGTAAAGACAAGAAAGATGAAAGGAAAAGGGGCTGGTGAGAACAAGCCCTGCTCACTTACTGTGCCATAGAGCTTCACATTCTGAGCACACTTCTTGCATATTGTGTTGGTTTTGCTGTTAAAAAGAAGGACAGATCATTCTATTAACACTTCCCCAAAGAAAATTAAACCTCTGTGGTTAGGACCCGTGTCTCCCGTAGGTTTCATCTCTGGTGGTGAGACTGTATTAATCTTCACCAGGGACTCAGATATCAAAGTGCATTTCCCATCCCCATCTGGTTGAGGATAATCTGCCAAAAAGTGGTATTACTGGGAGGTAGCTTTTAATTAAGGCATCCCCAGAGGACACCAGTTTTTTGTCCTTACAAACACAAGAGTCTGATCACCAGATAATTGGCAGGAGGCGTGATTCAGCACTGGTGACAGTCCCAGGTCTGGAGGAGGTGGCTGACAAGCTCTGGATGACAAGGTTAAGGCAGGTCAGGACAGAGGTGTCTTTGTCCAACAACACAGGAAAGAACACCTCACACAGTGCCCACACGCATCTACTGGGTTTACAAATCCTTCCTCTCTAAGCGACATAACTTGCAAAAATGCAAAAGCACAGCTAAAGGAAACACATTAGGAAATAAGTTCTTGGGCAACAGAAATTAGAGAAGAGGAAAACTTGTGGGAAGATGCACCCAGATCCTTTGCTAGAAGATGCATCAGAGCACTGACCAAAAATAAAAGCCAAGCAAAAGGTACAAATCTAAGAACAGCGCAGAAGAACACCAGCTCGCCCAGCAGACCTTTGGAGAAGGTCAAAGGTCCCCCAAGTCCTCCGCAGCAATAATCTACTGGTTAAGGCTCAGTCAGCAAAGGTGTGGAAACATTACGGTTTGCCGTAATGCAAGGTGGTGCATCAGTTCTAAAGAAAACATCAGTGTCCCCAGCTCAGCAGGCATTTACCTTTCCTGCTGGAATTCAGTCCGGCAGTAAGTGCATTTAACAATGGGATGCGCAAT